GGTTAGACAGAGGATAAAAGGGGCAGAAAGAAGCTGCTAAGTCCCTGCTGCTTGCTTGCTTTGCTTCCTTCTGCCCTCCATGAACTCTTCTCCTCTGCGATGCCTGTCTGCCATTGCTACACCGCCTTGGAGCCAGCAGATTATGGACTGAAACCTCTACAAATTGAGAGCTAAATGAACATTTCCCCCTTTAACTTTGCATGTTGGGTATCCTGTCTCAGCAATGAGAAAAGTAGCTACGACATCAGAGAAAAGATTTGACCTAAGATTTATAGTAACAAAGAATACAAAATGAAAACCAAACTTTGTTCTGCTTTCACTCACTTCATTGGCATCCGTAGGCCCAAGTGAAAAGTTACGGTTCATAACAAAAATGGCTTTAAAGGTCCTGGCTGTCCCAGGAGAAAGGACAAATCCTGTTTCTAATGAGCCACAGGAAAGGGCCCAGGATTCTGCCTACTCCCCAACCCTGCGGCGGTCCCTGAGTATGTCATGACTGTGTCAAAGCCACATCGAGGAGGGCAAGGATTTTATCAGGTTTTACTCCTGTTAGCCTTGCCATGTACTTTGCCCTTGATGGCTCACTGAGCCAATAAATTCCGGCCCAGGGTAAAGGACGGGGGTGAGACAATGCTTCGAGGAGGAGAGCACAAAGCCCAGGCCGGTGTAACAAAAGAACCAGTCACTTCCGGTCACAGAGGACTTATGCACAGAGAATGCACTGGCTCTTGGCCCCTGCTGTGATCTTATTTTCCATTTCTTCCATTGTCCTGTCTCTTCTTCTAAGACTGCCATTTCTTAGTCTTGAATTTCTAGAAAGCTCTAAGAGGGTACTCCTCCAAAATTAATAAAAAGTCGAGATTATAACATAATTTCCAGTAATCCAGGTTTAGCTCTTGCTGATGGTAATTCCAACTAGGCTCGCGGAAGCCCTGAGGGCATCTCTTTAATGAATAGCTAAACTCAGTGTTTAATTCAAATGTCATCTTCAGCCCCCAAAGAGCTTGCTCTTGTAGCAGTTCCCGCATTGTCCCTGTGGTCTTCACAGCCTCTCGCACTTGCTCGGAAGGTTAAACAATCACTTACCGATCACCGGGTATTTCGTGCCAGACGCTTTGATGACATTCAGTCGAAATGCTGAGGTTCAGCTGAACTACCTCTCAGGACACATCTAAGTTATTCGAAATTCTGACTTTGTAGGGTTTGCAGTTTAAAATACTATCTATAAATGGCAGGAGGTCATCCGTGGGCATTGCTTGCAAAATCCACCTGCCCATCTGATGCTCTTCCCCTAGCAGGCTGTGATTTGCACACCGATGCTCCCCAAGACCACGTCATGGCAGGACAAGCCGCAAACCCCTCCCCCGTGCACGCTGTGAGTGGTCAGGGAGTTTGGATGGGCGCCAGCCTGGTGCCTGGCTGGAGAAGGACAGAGGCAGTGACTGCAGTGCTCTAACTACCATAGGCAGAGACCTGGAAGGCGGAGCCAGGTGGGAGAGCAGTGGCGCCGTGGTGCGGTCAGTGCGTGAAGTGGTACCTCTCCAGTTATCCTCCCTCTTCCTCTCAATGCCCAAATTGCATCCTGACAGGTGGAACAAGACCCCTGGCCACTGCAGAGCTGCCTCCTGGGCGCTTCTACTGCTCCAGGAAGTTCTGTGACCTGGGTCTCTCTTGATACTCCTCACCGCACGCACACACACACACACACACACACACACACACACACACATGCTGTAAATTGCAAAGTCCCTTGACAGCTCTTCCCGAAGGACCGCTACCTGAGATGACACCTTCCCCTCTTCTAGTCCCTTGCCCTGCTCCAACCTGCCCTCCTACGGCCCACGCAGACCCTCTCCTTCCGCTGCTCACAGCCCTCTTGCAGCTGAAAGGCCAGGCCTCCTATGGTCTGACCCAGCCCATCTCTCAACGCATGTGACTCACATATCCCTGAATGGAGCAGAGAACAGCCAGACAAAATAGGGCTCTTCCAACCACCCAGCAGTATCTGCTAACTTAGGGCCCCTGAGACCTGAATGTGCATTCCAGTCTCAGGGAATTTGTAGGAATGCAAATGTTGACTCTGGCAGTCCTGTCTGGGTGGGGCTCAAGATACTGCTTCTCTAAGGAGCTCCCAGATGCTCTGACTCTTGGCGGCCTTTTCACTGAGTAGAAAGCACGATGTCATCTTATTAACACCTGGGTACGGGGATAGGGAGATAATGACCTCATTTTAAGATCATCTGAGCTACTAAAAAAATTAAAAAGACCAAAAAAGTCAATCTTCAGATGGTTCAACCTAACCCAACAGGCTGTCCACCAACCGACTGTTGACAGAAGCCAAAGCTCATACTATCAGCGGGCAGGAAACCTTCCAGCCAAAGTTTTACATGTGTTTCCTCAGCTAGAAGCAGAGCGCAGCCTCACCCCTATGCCCATCCATCGCTTCGCATGGCTCCCCGTTCCAGACAGAATCTCACCCCAGGAAGCAGACTTCTCCCAAGCTCACAAGTCTAAGAGAAGACTCTGCCCTGGGATTGCCTTCTCCTTCCCTGCTCTAATGTTCAAATCCTGCTGCGATTCCAATGCATGCCCAGAAGCACCAGCACAGCCCCAGCTTGCATTGCAGAGGTCAGGTGGGAAGACCCCGGCAGATAGCAGCATGGGTCTCATTTTCATTTGAAAGCCCCAGCCCTGGGGAGGTTTGTGAGTGTGTGGGAACCCACAGCTCCTGGCTCCTCCCATGGCAGCACTTCTCCAGCTCCAAAAAGCCCGGATTGTGAGAAGAAATAGGGTCAGTGGATGGATGAACTTGGCCCAAGAGAGTTCTGCACAGCACATGCTCACAGGCACCCATCTCAGCTGCCCTTCTGAAGGCCGAGGACCTGAGGCACAACCATAAGCAAGACTGACAAAAACCATGAGCAGTAAATGGGAAATTTCAGGAGCTGCAGTAACATGCGCCCCTTTGTGAGAAGCTTGCTACCAACTCCAGATGTTCAGGACATCAGGTTCACGGTGCCGTCCACTGAGAGGGCACTGATGGGCTTCTTATGCCCTTTGCCTATGAACCACAGTTCCACGGTTCTCAACTCCAGCCACCCTTGAGCTGCGGTAATTTGAACAAACACCGGCTCCTGGTTCCCTCCCAAAATCAACTCAGTCAGAATCGGAGGTGGGCAGGCAGGCATGGCTGGGCTCCCAAAGCACAGAGAAAGCTCCAAAGCACGGTGTTAGAGATGTCATTTTCCAAGTTCGAGGAAAAGCACCTTTCCCAACTTCTAATGTTGCCTTTCCCAGCTTCTAAAACTTCACTCCTTTTTTAATGCAATACAGGATGTTGGCAGTAACAAATACTGTCTTATACTTTCAGGACACAAATCACTTTTACATGCACTGCCTTATTAGATTCTCAAATCAGCCTGTGGAAAGTGCTTACGCCGTTACAGAAAGATATATGATGTGCTTGCTGGGACACTAGGAGACAGAAAATGGAAACAACTTGAAAGCCTGTGAGAGGGCGGTTAAATACAGCGCTGGCTACTCATGCAGTGGAGAATGCTATAGGTATTAGGAATACTTAGATAGATCTCTATACCTGGATTTAAAAAGCTAGCCACAGTGTACTATTGTATTTTTAAAAGTCAGCTTCAGAATCATAACAGTAAGTGATTCCTTCTCTATTGTTTTTAATCCCCGTGTGTGTGTGTGTGTGTGTGTGTGTGTGTGTGTGTGTGTGTGTTTGTAAGCACAAAGAAATGGCTGGGAAGATACACATTAAAATATTATTGGTCCTATTGCTTGGGCTACCATCAGACAGAGGTGAAGGGAAGAATCTGTCTCTACTTTATACTTCCATATTTTTAATTTGTTGCAAAAATTATACTTCCACACTGTTTTTTAAAATCTTCTAAAACAACACCCCTGAGACAAGTTCCAAGAGAGATAATCATACCCACTTCTCCGAGGAAGTAACTGAGTCTCAATGATGGGGAAGAACTTGATCATATGGCTAAACACTGGTGGTACATTAGTTTGCAATTTATATGCCTACTGCGTTTCACATATATTACATACTGTGTTTCATAAATATATTACTCAGCCATACAGAAGGATAAATTTGAGACATCTGTAAGAAAATGCCTGCACCTCTAGACCACAACACTAAGTGAAATAAATCAGACATAGATTCAATATCGCATGGTGTCTCTTATATGAAAAATACAAAGTATAAATAATTTAAAGGGCAAAATAAAAGATACATGATAGGAAACAGGGAAGTAGGGCTTGTAAGATAGGGAAGGGGTCTGAGGATGGGGGGAGGCAGGAGGAAAAGGAGGGGGAGGGGGAGGAAAAAGATCAAGGTGCGATAGGTACCGGGTGCTGATTCCCACAGTGAACGGCCTCACGCTCGTCTGTGCACAAGGACCCAACAGGCAAACTGCAGGCCCTTCCCGGAGGACGAGGAAGGCCAACATCAGAGGGTGAGCCTCAGCTCACCGGGGTCAGAGTTCCCTCCGCATGTCCGTAGGCGGAGCACTCTCTGCCCAAGGGCGCTGGGCAGACCTGGGAGCTAACAGCTCCCTGCTCTCCCTAAGGTCGCTAGTGATAGCTGTCTGTCGGTGCAGCCAGGAGCGTGGGCATCAGCCCCTTCAGAGCTGTTCCTTTCCTAATAAGGAAAATTCACTTTACACGGCAGCGCAGCGGAATGTCCCACGAGGGAGCCGAAACCAGAAGGGCACGGCGCTTACTAAAAGCACCCTTGTTACCAGGAAACATTTGCAAATATGTACAGGGATCTCGGTACAAGTGTGCGTGTGTGCGCGCGCGCATTTTACACACAAAAACTTTTCCAGGCTTCTGAAATCCGCTCCAGTGGAAGCTTGTCTTTCCAATTGCTGTTGAAGTACTTTGCAATTCACTCTTAAGGGGGCGGGTACTTTGCGCCTCGCACCTTTGGACGCTGGATCTTTGTTCTGACTCCTATTTTTCCTTCCTGTCAGGTGCAGCTCATCCACTACAACCATGAGTTATACACAAACGTCACAGAAGCTGCAAAGAGTCCAAACGGATTGGTGGTAGTTTCTATATTTATAAAAGTAAGTCTCCTGCATTCTTCTATCCCCCTCTTCTTGCCATTTCCCAGCTCAGCCAGAATATCAGTCTACCTTCTGCATTAGAGCTAAAAATATTTAAAAGGGTGATATGGACTAGGGTCCATAGCTAAGAAAGCTGCAGGTCTCCTGACTTCCACATCTGCGAGATTCATGAAAAATGCAGTCCTTGGCTTCAAGGTTCAGGCAATGTGAGCTACTGCAGAGCGTGGCGGCCTAAGGGTCCTGGTAGCTTCTCTCCTTGGGAAGAAAAGGCCCTGGGGCAAGCTTAATACAGTGGAATCAGAAGGTTGCGATATTAGCAGGGGAGCAAATGGTCCTCTGGTGTCCCCTAGAACTGGCAACCCATCACCCATCGCTTTGCTGCCCCTGGGGAGCCAGGGAGGTATGAGATGTCCCGCCCTGCAGGCTCTGCACAAGACAAGACAGCTCCTCCCAGCTTCCCACAGGGGGCATCAGCCTCTGTCCTTCTCATGCTACCTCAGGAAGAAGACAATGTCACCCACTCTGACTTTGTGACCTGCTTAGGGAACCACAGCCTGGCCAGGGAAGGAATGCAAGTCTAGGTTTCTGCCTAACAGGCAGCAACAATAGCAGCACATCTCCAACCAAACCAGTTCTAATTTGTCCTCGAAATTACATTTTGGGAGCGGTGATGTAAGGGAGATGGAGATGATCAAAACGTATTACATGCACATGAAAATACTACCACACTGAAACATAGTTTGTAAAATTATTATGCACCAATAAAAAAGTAGGTAAAAAATTACATTTTGGCAAAGTAGGATGAAGCAGATATACCCAAGAAATTAATGGAAAAGAAAGAAAAAAGAGGAAAGAAAAACAAAAAGAATGAAAAAGAAAAAATAAAGCCAGAAAAACAAAAAAAAAAGAAGAGTTTCCTTTCTGATGGACCCTTATTTGGGTCAGGGTAGGCTGGAGCCATGTCAGGGGCATTTGTAACATGTTGGCCATCTAGCAAAGAGAGGAAGGGGAATTTGGCCGGGGAAGCACATTTTTAGGCTTTCCTGCCTGCTTGGTACCAGACATGATAGCTCTAAGGAGTTGCTCCAGCTTTGTATCTTTTGATACCATCACAAATGCCAGAAGAATAAACAGCAGATTCCTGGGTGTCAGGCCCTGTGATATGTTTTACATCTATTTGATCATTTAACACTGGAAAGGAACCGTGGGTTAGGCATCTGCACTCATATCTTACAGATGAAGAAAACAATCAGAGAATCCTTGGTGTTCACCCAAGTTCAGGTGGCTCCCCGCAGTCCGGCCAGGGACAGAATGCAAGTCTTGCATTTAAGACTCATGACCTTATCCTCACCGCATGCCCCCACCACAGGGACAAGGGCAGGCAACTGAGAGCAGGAAGAGACAGAACATTTGAACACCCCTCCCAAGCCAAAGCTGTCCACAAGCACAGGGCAAATTTCTGTATCATTATTCCAGCCCCAGCGATGATGATACCAGTTGGTGTATTCAGCCTAGACCACACTCAAGGTCTACAGCCTGAAGATACAAGGATGCCAGTCTTTCCCGGAGTAACTCCCACAGGCCACCCTGCCTGAGCTAATCATTCCTGTCCTTTGGAGGGATCTCAGTCTCAGCCCCAGACTTTGCCTCACCTTGCTCAAGGCCTCTGAGTCTGTGAATGTGGTCCCAGATGCACAAACATTACAGTGGGCAAAGTGCCTGACGGGGCCCTGGACAGCCAGCCTCCCCGGGGACAGACTACTGGTGTGGTCCCCAGGCTCTCGCGGACTCCCTTGCTGCACTGAGAACATGACCGACAGGCAGGGCTTGCAGGTCCTGGTTGCTTCCCTGCAGATTGGTGGGAACCATTTGTGTCCCACAGCCTGAGGCCAACCAGTAGCTCCGGCATCATCTCAGGGCAGTTTGACCATGGGGGACGCTCCCGTTCATTCTCTCCCTGAGCAAACCTAGAACTCCCTGGCTCCACCTGAAAATAAGCCACAGCATTTCTGTGCATCACACAATCACAGCCCAGAGAAGCAGCTCCACCATGAGATCTCTGAGCAGTGACCTCATGGCAAAATCCCAACCGAGCAGGGCGTCCAGGCCGGCCCCCTGCCTGGCACTGGCACTCAGAGGTGAGGCCTCAGCCTTGTCTCTAGGATGTGCAGCCTCTTGGCGTCCATCCCCCTCCTCTTGCTCTCCCTGCCGCTCCCATCCAGCTCCCTGCAGGCTGCCCAGAAATGGGATGAGCAGCCCCGCACCTGAGTGTGTTAGCTCCACAGCCATCTTCCTGCCTGGAAGCTGAGCCACAGGGGGCTTTGGAGTTCTTAGTTAAAAGAAAAGACTTGTTTATCTGTAGGTTTTCTTTATGTCTGCCCTCCACTAATCCCCCATCCTTCCCCTGACCCTGGAGAACTGAGATTTGGCTGTAATTGCTGCCCAATCACACACCATTAACTTCCCACTTAAGCTCACTTATGCCGAGTACACATTTTATCCTCTCACCCACGCAGCCAACACACCAATGCTCACAAATCATCTGTGTGCATGTTGGGACTTCTTTGGTTCTTTTTAATCAGCTCAAAAGGGGCCAGTCTCAATGCCGGCGCTGCCTGCACATGCCAGGTGTTAGAAGCCTAAGGTCCCTGACAGCTGAGACACAGGGCGCACTCCTTACAGACGGAGACCATGCGTTTTTGGTCCTCCTTCTTCCACAGAGGGCATCAGTGCTCCCAACAGAGGCTCCAGCTCTCTTTTCAATGAATGTGTGGATGTGGAGTTCAAGTTGGTACTCAAGTTGGCTTAAGAAGTTGCCTGCATCTTGGGATGGATGTTACCTCCACCAAGAACTGTCGCTCACCGAGATCCCCGTGGTGCATGTCTCACCACAACACACGCAGGAAGCTGCAAAAGGAGAGACAGATGGAAGGAAAATAAACAGTCTGTGCTTCCTCCAAACTGAAATTACCTGTTGCTTATCTAATAATAATAATCATCTGCTGCAATTTTTCCCACCTTAAGAATAAATCAGACTTAAAATGTTGATGTGTCACAACATCCGATTAGCAGCTGAGGTGTAAATTGCAGAGCACGGCAGAGCTGAGCAACGTAGGAGAGAAATGAGTAGGATCAACAGTGGTTCTCAGAAAAGGCTGGGTACAGAAGGCATTGTTGAGAAAACCTCGCACACAGTTACATGCAGCCAGACCACAGCCTCACCAGTGGTGGTTCCCCAGCTCCTAGCCCCTGAAGCTTAGATTCTGCCCCTAAAGGAGGAGATGAAAAGGTATAAACATAAAATGGGAATTCATCTCTAAACACGTATAATAGGCACCTGATAAATATTTGTTGAATGGATAGATGGATGGATGAATGGATGGATGATGGTTGGACGGGTGGTTGGACAGATGGATGAATGGATAGATGATGGTTGGATGAATGGTTGGTTGGATGGATGGATGGATGGATGATGGTTGGATGGGTGGTTGGATAGATGGATGAATGGATAGATAATGGTTGGATGAATGGTTGGATGGATGGATGGATGGATGGATGGTTGGATGGATGGTTAGATAGATGGATGGATGGATGGATGGATGGATGATGGATGGATGATGGATGGATGATGGTTGGATGAATGGTTGGATAGATGGATGGATGGATGGATGATGGTTGGATGGGTGGTTGGACAGATGGATGAATGGATGAATGGATGAATGGATGGATGGATGGATGACTGATAGGGCTGTGATATATTTAATTCATGCAATAATTAACAATGATACAAGAAAGTTCTACATTATTTTATAGTGTGTATAGTGTGGTTTTCTCCATCTCATGATATTGCTATCCTAGATACTCTCCCACTCTCAGATAAATATCCCTGTCTTAATATGTCACTCCATACCACCTACTCAAAACACTTTGACGGTTCTCCATCCCTGCAGAACAAACCTGAGATGCCCGACATGACTGCAAAACCTGCTCTGAGTCAACCACCTCCTGCCTTCTGGCCTCAGCTCCTATCCTTCCCCAACCCTTTCCCATCCCAGCAGCTCCACCTACGCAGAAACGCTGGCGTGAGCATACCTGGCTGTCGCTTCCCCGCGTCCACTCCAGGCTTCTCCTTGCCTTTCTTCCTTTTCCACACTCTACCACCAAAACACTTTGCTCGCTTCCACTGACCCTATAAGATAGAGCTCACAGACTCCCCCTAGAGAGTGGGCAGCCTTCCCCTAATACCGTCACACCCACAACTCTATCAGAGCGCTCTTCACAATGCATGCAAACCACAAGATCACACATTCTTCCTTCTCTGGACTGGGGGTTCCTTCAGAAGAGGTGAAGCCTTTGCTCTCTGAACTTCCAGGCAAAAAGGATTTGGCACATGGCAGGCACTTGGGAAAGAGGGAGGAACGGATGAAGGGCTGGAGGCGGTGTTCAGAGTGCCGCCCAGCCATTAATATTTTTGTTTCTCCTCTAGGTTTCTGATTCATCAAACCCATTTCTTAATCGAATGCTCAACAGAGATACGATCACAAGAATAACATATAAAAGTAAGTTTGGTTCCATTTCCTCCACAGCAATTACTCTCTAAAGGTTACTCCTGTCGGAAGGCAGGAAGCCAGAACAGATCATCTCTGCGGGCCCCTTTCAGCTTCATGATCCTTTAATTCTAGAAAGCCAGGGTTGGCTAAGAAGTAACTCATTTCAAACAGCAGTCCCCAGGGTGTCTTTGTCATCCACGCCTGTCTAAGGCAGAGGCAATTGTGATGATGTGGTCATCACTTTCCCGTGGATTGGCCGTGAACTGGAGACTCAGCTGTCCAGGTGGGGCTTTGCCAGTTCTGTGATGGAGAAAGTGCTCAGCATATGCTTTGGGTCCAGCCTGGGCCCAGCTCAGAGGATGTAGGGAGGCATTATGTTCATTCTCTGGGGCCCATGGATCTACAGGACTCTGTCCAGTTGTCCAGAGACAGGAAACCCAGCTGCTGGGGGCTTCCAGAGTGTTCCATTCCAGATTTCTTGGGCGGAAAAGAGAGGACAGTGCAAAGTTGAAGGAGGAAGAGAAAGGAAGGTGCTGCCACCCACCACAGCAATCCAAAAGCTGCAGCGTGTGGGAAGGCTGAGGCAGTGCACACCAAGAGATGAAAGAAATCCACACGGGGAATGCGACTTCTACCTAATCACAAGGGAGCTGCAAAGTGGGATTCAAGTCTTGGCCCTCTCACCCTGACTCTGTTTCCTCATCAGTAAAGTAAAAACTGGACTTCAGTTTTCTAAAGTGGTCTGGGCCTAGGGTTCTGCATTAAGCAACAGGTAAATAATGATTTTCACAGAAGGAAAAATCGGCATGAAAACCGTGTAACTCCCGCATTCCTGTGGTGGGTCTTTGGAGGAGCTATTACCTCGCTGCGTGTGCGGCTTGTACTTCCAATTGCAATGTGGAAAAGACAGAGAGGATGTTTATAGGTCTCGCCTTGGATGCTGGGAGGGAGAGGATGGGGACTCCTGTGCTCATTCATTTACTCATTCAACAAACATTTCCCGCAGGAATGTAATGGTAGCCCAGACACTCTCTCTGTCCACAAGCAGGCCAGACCCCAGCCCTCCACACAAGATGTTCACTGCCGGTCCCTCCCGTGTGAAGAAGCTGAGGGCGGCTGCTGGGCTAATGAATGGGTCTGTAGAACCGCTCTGCCTAGCTAGCAAGCACCTAGAAGGATGTATTAAATTGTCTGCACACTCACACACACACAGTGCCCTTGCTCGTCGGTATTCATGTGGGGTCCTCTCAAAGCACACTCTTAGATGGCTCAGCTAAGAGAGATATTTCTCTCTTGAGCGTAAATAGCACATTTATAACTGCCCATAAAAGATTATTATTCTTTTAACTTTTTTGATTAAAAAAGCATGAAAATTAAATAAAATGTTTTCAAATAATCTTGAATTTGCAGTTTAGAGACCGTGAAAAGCTATGAAATTGCACGTTAAGCCCCAACACACAATCTGACAGATTGCCACTTGTGCAGTCACGAAAGGGCCTTTTCTCCCTTCCCTCCCCAAGCACTGTTCTGATTAATAGCAAGTGATGCGGTTGCTGGCACAAGTGGGGGGTGGGGGCGGGGATGGAAGGGACAAAGGAGGGAGGGAGAAAAGGAAGGAAGGAAGGAAATGCAGGGGAGGGGAGGGGAGGGAGTACAAGGTTTGGAGAGCCCTGAAGGGGCTCTGAAGCATTCGGCAGGAAAAGCTCTACCTCCCTCAGCGCTGAGGCCCGAGTTGCGGTGGGCCTGACACAGCAGCAGTGACAAGGAGTGTCAGGAATGCGGCTCTGGAGCCAGGTCTCAGCATCACGCTAAGGCACTTATGCTGAAGGCAGGCAAGGCCTTCTCACTTCTGCAGACCTCCTAGAAACGCAGAGGGAAGCCATCAGGAGCACCCTCCCCTCCTTCTGTCCTCACTCCCTGTGCCTGCTGGGGCCATAGGAAGAGAAAGGCAAATTGAAATGAGATAAAGAGACCTGGACTGCATGGGCAGAGGTGGCCACCTCCAGCCTCGTAATAGCAGGTATTTTGTGCTCTTAAGCTCCAGCAGGGAGTAATAGGTGTTCCCCATAGGGACCTTTGTCGCACACCGGAAGGGGTCGCTTCACAGGGATAATGATGGCCTGATACGTGGATGGCCTGGACACCGCTACACCCAGGACACTGGTGGAAAAGGATTGATTTGCTCAGCAGGAAACCACAGCTCTGCTCTCTCTCCGAGGCCTCCAGCCTGTGGCAGGTTAGCCCAGCATCCCACAGGGGCATCTAGAATGGGAGTCATTCAGGAACATTCAGAGAGACATGAGCCTGGAAGTCCCTCCTGTGCCCCTGCAAGAGGCAGAGGTGACACTGGCCTCAGGCTGTGGATTCAGATCAACAGACTCACCACGCCACTACCGAGGGGCTCCTGTTAGGGCGTCCTGCATGCAGACTTCTAAGTAACTTGGAGATAAGTCAAACACCCACACCCACAAGCTGCCACTTCAACCGCCTTCCCAGGGCCACCTGACCTCACCCTCTTCCCTACTCCCTACGTGCCCAAGGACGGCAGCTGCACAGAATTATGCCCGGCACAGCTCCAATGAGCCCACCCATCTAAATGCAGTATCTCCACGAAGGTAATGTAGTAAGCATCAGGAGTATGGAGGTGCAACTAACAGAACTCTCTACACTTTAGGGTCTGCACCACATAGGCAGCACATTATCGAGTCCTTGTGATGTCCTCCACAATGGGTGCAGTTGCTATTCCCAGTTACAGATGAGCCCAAGGACACGCAGCTAGCAGTGGCTGTAGAAGTCAGCAACTTCTGCACAATGTGGGTGGGGTGAGCTGGCTCAGGTCCACATGGCTCTCATTCTTCCAGGACCAGAGGCATGTCTGGGTCAAACATCTCTCATGGTGCAGGGCAAAACCATGAGGTGTTACCTAAGGCTTCACCTTGAAACACACACACGCAGCTGCTCATCTGCCACCCGCCAACACCAGTCACATGGCCAAACCCATCATCAAAGTCCTCCCAGAAGTGGGGTTGGGTGGAGAGCAAGCATCCTGAACAGTCTGTTCTGTCAGAGAGCAAATGTTCCTGTGGATCCTCCTGGGTCCTGTTGGCTATGTTTCCTAGGATCTTGCTTCTTCCTTATGGAACAAGGAAAACTTAACTCAGAGCTCTTAAAACTAGTTGTAATCCTGGAACCTGGACATTATATGAAACTTGGCAGCCTCTTTTTCTCTTAATGGCAACCCTGGTTCAATGTGAAGAGTCGCCTCTTTGCCTTTTGCGTTTGCCTCCACTTGGAAGGGACACCAACTAACCACAAAACTAACAAAGTGGGCACTTTGCTCAGGTTCATCCTGCTGGAAATGCCAGCTGATGTTTCCCTTGGCATGGGACCGCTAGTGGAAAGCAGCATCAGCCAGAAGAATAGCAGTGTCATTGAGGGCCATACATAGCAACCAGAGAAAGAGCAAACACTGGTTCAGGAAAGGGTTGGTCCTCTTTAAGTCCTCCCCGTGGAGGCCATATTATAATGAGAAACCAACATAAGACTTCAAGAAGAGTGGCTGATCTGATGACACCGATTCCTTGGCCAGAAATTGGCTGCAGCTTGACCAGGGTAGATGGGGAGGATAAAGGCAGCCATCCAAATGATGAAGCAACTAACTGCACTGACCAAAGAAAAACTAAGAGACGTTTTGATAGATCAGATGTGTGATGGGCAAACAAGAGCAGTCAAAGATGACTGTCAAGTTTTTAGTGGAGCAACTTGAAGGAAGACATTTCTGTCCATGGGGACGGGGAAGACTAGATTCAGCATTTCTGTGGGTGGAAAGAGAATCTCAAATTTGGAACTCATGGCGACTGGGATGTCTATTAGGCATCCAAGAAGAGGTGTGGTGTAGGCAGTTGGATATGTGAACTCGGATTCCAGGAGAAAGAACTGGGGATGGAAGTGTGGAAGACACTGACATCCAGATGGCATTTAAACTTGGGTGAGATCGTGGAAGGAAGAATAAATAGAGGGGAGAGGCGGGACACGTCCTCACTTCTGAAAGAGCAGCTCCAATCTTCATGACTTAGAACTGAAAAGCAGTTCTAAAGATAGCTTTCAAATCCCACCTTGGAAGAGACTCCTGCATGGCCAACTCCTCCGTGGCTGAAGGGGTGGAGGAGGAAGGGCAAAGCATGGAGGGCTGAGGGGAATCACCACAAAATGGTGGATGGTGGGGACACGGCCTGTTTCTCAGGTTTCTAAGAATGGGTACAGAGTAAATGGGGAGGGAAAGGAGGAATCTTTTGTGTATGTTAAGCAAAGTCAGGAACTGTAAGAGGAGGAAAGAAGGGGAATCTTGCCAAGAAGAGAGGACAATTTTGGAAACCATGCTGGTGAAGGCCGAGGCAATGTGCTCTTAAAAGGAGAGATGGAATTGAGCAGACTTGGACTCCTATCATGGACCTACCATTTCCTTGGCTGTGTGACTTCACACAAGTTTCTTAACATTTCTGAGATACAGGCATCTAATGAGTAAGATAAGACTATTAATACTGATGTTGAGAAAGAGTTGGAATGTAGATTAAACAGTGTAGTGAGTTGACTGCCACTGATTGAGTAATGAATGATGTAAACTTAGTGCAAAATGTATACATACGTGGTGTTCCTAAATTGGTCTAAGGTACGTGCCGGTCAAACCCAGCTTCCTGAAGAGCAGGAGACAGGTAACTATGCTGTGGTAAAGGTGAACACAGCACAAGGTGTACAGAACACTTTGTTTCTTTTGAACAAAGCACAACTCCTGTATTTGGAGCTGTGCGATATATAGTAGTGACTTTGTGCACTTCTAACTTCTCTCCTTGGAAACTTACATTTCACACACTTGAGTAAAACTTTTAAAACACTCTTCCTAACCAGGACTGACAATGAAAAAGACCAACCTGAATTAATTTCAGGGTGAATTTAGAAAGCCTTCTAAAGAAAACCCATTTTATTAAAATTAAATTCCCCTTCCACAGAGT